GGGCCGCCCGGGAACTCGGGGGGAAAAGGGGAGAGCGGGGAGCGCGGGGCCGCGGCACCGGGATGCAGCTGGGGGGCGACAGGAGCAATTCCCCCCTTCTCGCGTATAGGTGACTTCCCATCTCTGATGGGAGCAATAAACTGTAAAGGGCTCGGTGCCCTTCTCTGTCCGACTAAAGCTTCATATATACATACATACACATATGCATATATGTATATGAACAGAGAAATATCTATTATATATATGTGTTTCTATATACGTGTGTGTGTGAGAGAGGATGTACGTATGTGTGTATACACGCGCGTGTGTGTGTGTATATATATATATATTTCAACATTTAAGACGTTATTGTTTTCGGCTGACTGGCCCTGAATAGACGCTGAGAATCGTCGCGGGGAGTGAGAAGTCATTTGTAGGTCAGGACAGCAACTTGAAGCCGATTTCAGGAATCTTTTGAAATATTGATCGCTTAGCAGTAATCAGCATCCCCCAACTCCCCACTTCTTACTATTTAGTATTTATTAATTATTATTTATTTTAGTTTTATTTTTATTATTTCTTTTTCCCCACGGGCCCCGAGGACAAGTGGAACGGGGAAAGGTCCAGGGCTCCCGGGGCAGGAGGGAAACCACTTTCGGAGCTGTTAGGAAACGATTTGTTTTCTGGAGAGGGAAACAAATCAAGCGGCCACGGAGACGTTCAATGACAATTTCTTCCCGGGAACATTAGGGGCCATGCTTGGAAAGGCAACATATATTTTGATTTAAGCTCAATATGTTCTCTCCTCTGCTCTTTCCAATGCATTTTTTTCTGGAGCACTTGCCACAGAAATGCCTCCTTAATTTGATAGCTTGTTCTCTTCCCCTCCCCATTTTTTATTGGTTTCTTTATTTTTTTTTCTTTCTTTCTCTCTCTCTCTTTTTTTTTTGAAGCTCCTTTGCCAGTTGACCGAAATTAACTAGATTTACATTTTCTCCAATCATTTCTCCGAAAAAAAAAAGAGCTGGACTAGGGCTCGCCGTCTTTTCTTTAGTATCAAGTACAATTTGTCTTTTGCTTGTGAAGATTTGGTAAATCAGAAGGCAGATAGATAGCGCAGATGGTCGGAGGTGTCGGGTCAGATTATGGTACGCCTCAGTACCATGCTAAGCTCATTCTGACGGAAAACCCTGATATTATTTTCACAGATCTACACAGTTCACTTGAAAAAAACCCTCCGAGCCATTTACATCATTTATGTGAGGCTCACAGCTAGCGGGATGGAAAACCTTTCAATACTGCTCATTTTCATAAAACCCGACAGAGCTGGGAGACATAAAAGCACAGACAAAACTCACGAGTTCAGAGGCACTTAAGAGAAACTTAAAATTAAAAAATGCGGGATGCACTTCGGTTTCACCTTGCAGATCCAGGTTTGTCATGTCAATCCGAGGAAGGGAAAGGAGGAGGAAAACCACACAAAATTAAAAAACCATCTGTAAGTGTTGCTGACATTCAGGCACGGAGGGAGAGATCTCCTTCCCGCCCAAGCTCTCTCCGTTGGAGCGGCTGGGAGCGGAATCCCAAAGACTTCCGATGGACAGGAAAAATAAATAAACAAAGAAATAAATAAACAAATTATAGAGAGATGAGCCCTCCTCGATGTGAGCACCGGGCTTCCCTAGCGAGGGGCTGGGGAGGTGGCGACCTGTGCGGAGCCGGGTGCGTTTGAGCCTCCTGCCCCCGGGCTCCCCGCACAGGGTGCAGAAAGCGGGGGGTGGAAACGGGCAGTTCGTTCGTGCTACCATTGCGCTTGTTAGCATCGCAAGTCCCAATTTATTTCTATTTTATTTTATTTTTAAGCATGCACATGAATCGGGGCGGGAGCCTAATGGCCCTGGGCAGAGCGAGTCTCAGCAGTGAGAGCCAAGTCTGGAGGCTAAAGAAACGCGTCCTCAGCAGGCACAGGGAGCAGGGGACTGTCCCCCAGGTCGCCAGGGACGGGTCCGGCGGGGGGGACACGACAGCCCTGCTAGAGGGAGAGGAGCAGAGGCAAAGACTCCGAAATGCCCCGGAGTCCCTCTTAACCAGCTGCCTCCCGCAGCTGTAAAAGCCGGAGAGGGTATTTGAGAAGTGGCACCAGCGGTGCCACGGGCTCTTCCTGACCCTTTCCAAACCTCCCTCTCTCCCTCTGGGCTGTCATCCTTCAGGAAGGGAATGTGGGGCCAAAACAGCGACTTTCCGGCTGCGGGGAGCGCGATATCTGAGCGATAAGAGGTGGACGATGCGGCGCCTCCCCTCCATTTCTGCCCCCCTCCCCTTTTTTTTTTTTTTTTTTTTTTATTTTTTTTTTTGTTAAG